AAGCACATGATCCTCATTTCTTAAAGTTTTTTGAATGTACCTTCAGTGGGATTATTGAATCATAGTGTGGAAACTGGAACCAGGTCATTCCCAGAGGAGAGAATCCTAAGAAGAAGGGACCTATGTCTGTTGGCTTTTCAGTTCTTTATACCAGGGACAGAAATAGGAGCACCCTGAAGATGTTTATGATCTAATGGATTCCTTCACTGAGCACTTGATTTGAAATGAGAAATGCAGCCTCACATGACTGTCAGCCACTAACATTTTGATTTATTAGTGTTCTGAAGTGCTTTATCTGGGAAACTTTTAAACTGTGTCATAGTGAATGAGTCAGTAATGATTTGCTCTTGTTCTAAAGGTATTTGTCTTTGCCTTTTTCTTTTTAAATGAAGTTGCTCAAGACTTACAGGTTGTCTTCTTTTAAAAACAAACAAACAAAATCCAGGATTTTCCATCAGCTGCATGTTGCCAAGTGTTGCTTTCAAATCTTTGGAAAGAAATCTGCAAAGTTGCCAGAGTATGAGGAATCACTACAGTAGGAGGTGAAAGTGCCTTACGCAGCGTAACAAATGCTTTGCAATGTACAAAAATCAACTTTTAGTTATGTGTTTTGTCATAGTTTGAATGTCAGTCAAGATTGTGAACAGCTTGTGTGAGGTGTGTGTAGAGTGTAAGGAAAGGGAGATTCCTTGCTTCAAGGGGACAAGTGGCAAGGAGAAAGCTGTAACGTCTAAAACAACTTGTGTGAGTATAATAAAACATTCATTTTGTAATTTCTCTGTTCTTGCCTTATGTGAGGAGAGACTAGTCACACAAATGCAAGTTGGATCAATGTTTGGAACCAACAGCTGTTTTATATCCATTCATGTTTAGAGGGAAACTATGAGGAACAGTATGGTGTACGTCAGCTCCTGCAAGGCTTGCTTTCTCCATCAAGCATCCACACAAGTTATTTCGGATGGTTTTTCTTCATTCTCATTTACAAACAAAACACTTCCTGAGAGATAAGTGCTTTTATGCTGTTGGAATCTACTTCCCTTCTTCCTGTTTTGTCCATGGTTTTCTACACGTTGTTCTGATCAGGCCTACCAGGATGCATTGTCTTACAGTTCACCTGAATCACAGAATCACAGTGTGTCCTAAGTTGGAAGGGACCCATGGATCACCAAGTCCAACTCCTTAGTGCTTATTACAACTATTTCTTCCAACATGTTGCAAGGTATTTATTGAAACTACTGGAACTGGGAACTTGGAATCCAACTAAGACAGTCTCAACATTCACCTCTTCGTATTCATGGCTTATTTTGTTGTTGGGTTGTTGGTTAGGTCTGTGGAGGATTTTGTGGGGTTGTTTGGTCTGTGTGTTTGTTGGTTTGTTGGTTTGGTGTTTTTTTTGTGGTGAGGTGAAGATGCTACAAAACATTTCCTTCAGTAGGCTGTGTAAAATACTCTTCAGGGCTGTGATTCTGATCTTTAATATGGACAGGTTATTGCAAGTATACCAGCAGTTAAAAAGCCGAGTTTCTTGTTTGGGAGTTGTGACTAAATATGAAGTTGTTTAGTCAGTTTTATATATGTGTTGGTTGCTTTTGTTTTGTTACTTCACTTCACTTGAAGCAATGTTTCATCACTGCCAGATCTGGTTGCTGTGTAAGGATTGTGCTGAAGGCTTGGAGCTGTGCACATAAAAGGATAACAGAGGTCAGTTACCTTCCTGGGAATAAATCAAGCAAGACCAACAGGAGTTGGATCACCTGAAAAAGGCAGTCCCCTTTCTGAGAAGAAACGCATTCCTTTTATTGTCTAGAAGCTTTTAAGGTCTGCAAGCTTGCAGCGTGACTGGAGAAGCTCACTAGCTGTGAGCTGAGAATACAGGATTGGTGAATATGCTGGTGGAGAGGAACTCTAAGAAGAGACAACTACCTTGGCTCCTAAAGTTTTGTGAAGTGTGGAAGGATTGTGCCAGATTTGCTTCGTAACTTTTCCTATGAGAGGAGTTAATATTTGCCTCCCTGTAGTAACATGAATTAGTTTGGAATAACTATAATAACAAAAGTTGTCATTTTTGCTATCAGCTTCCTGATCTAAGAAAGCCTTAAGTAAACTCATGCATAAGAAGAAAAAAATAAATAAATAAGGCTTTACTTTCTTTATAGCCAAATTGCAGCTTAGGTATATGTGCATCTGGAAAATGGAGTTGTTATAGCTAGAGGCTGTGCAAGGTATTAATTACCTTCTGCGGTAATTGATAATTTCCTGCTTGGAGGCTAGACTGTTGTGTTGAAAAATACATACAAATGGCAAGGATTTAAGCACGGTCTTTAAACTGAAAATCAAATAATGAATGTGGCATGACACGATGAAATTTTGCATGTGTTTATGCTTCTGAAAATCGTTATAGCTGGGAGGAACTCTACTTATGGAGTGGAGTGCTAGAGAAGGAGGGAAAGAAAGGGATGCAGACATTTGAAAGGTATATTGTATATATTGAAAGGAATATTGTAAAGATATATTTCTCTAAATTCTGCTTTGGAATAGTTCTAGGCAATGTATCATCATATTAGCTAGAGAATGTCCTGTCCTATCTCTGTCAGACTGTATCTTACATACTGATTGTCAGCTCTTGCACAGTTGTCCTCTTGATGCTCTTCTACAGAGTGGCCTTTCTACCACACTCTAGTGCAGGATGTCACTGCAGTCTGTTTCTCATTTGGCACAATATAATAGTGCATTCAAGCTCTGTATTCAAGGAAATCACCTCTTCAGCTTCACATCTTGTTCTGCATCTCCTCACCATCATTCAGTAATCATTTGTAACCCAGTGTTTGATGTGCCACATGTATCCCATCCTGTGACTTAGCAAATGCTGGCAAAGAGTGAAATTGGCACAATTTCAATGGCATTTTTAGCGTGTCCAGGCAACAACCATTCATTGTTATCCTGCTCAGATGCTTTCTGTGCAGTGTGTGGTGCTATCCCTGATGGTTTCCCTGCAAGGAACCTGGTTCCACGCCTTGTGATAGATGTCATATCAGTCACTGCTGTTTGTGAGGTTTTTCCAGCTCTCAGATGCCCTTTGCCTTACGTGGCCCAAGGCTGTGCTCCCTATAGCCTGATACTGTTTCATGTATAGCAGGACATAAAAACACACTCTGGGGCAAAGGCAAGCTTTTTGTTCTACTGTGCTCACTCAGGTTCTGGAAACTGCTTAATTTCAGTGAAATGTTACAGATTAATCATTAAGCTGTGGTTGAATTGTAATGTATGTCCCCTTGCTTTGTGAAAGGTTAATTTCATGTAAAAATAATTCTTTCAGTATGACTTCTGTTTTGTTTGTTTTTAATTTCTCAAAATTTGAGGGTTAAACTAATTATTGCAGTGTGACTTTGCTCACTGTCTCATCCAGTAGATCCTCCTACCCTTTTGAGGAGTCAGGTGTGTATGTTAGATTTCTTTCCTCGTTACCAAAATTGGAAATAGCAAGAGAACAGAATCCCTTATCCTAGAGCAAGCTTTTCACATTCACCTCCATTTGTAAATCTGATCTTTTTCTTGTTGTTAAGCTTTTATTAACTAAAATACAGATAATGCTTCTTCATATCTGTTGTCAGAGACACCAGCTGTAGCTTTGGGAAGAGACTTTGAGGTTATGGTGGAGAGGTGTGGAAGAATTTAATGCTGTGTGTTGTACTGTCATTGCTAGAGCTCAGACTTCACAAGTTTAAAGAGAAAAAACTGTGCTTTACTTCTAAATAAATCATCATTGGCAGTCGTTGGTTAGGCTGGGGTTCTTGGCATTCATAACCTTTAGAAACAGTTTCCAGGTTGGATTTTTGAAGATTTTTTTGATGTGTTGAAAAATCCCAATGCCACCACGAGACCGAGCCCATCTGAGCTGACAGTAGCGCTGGCCAACTTGTGATTTCATCTTTAAGAATAGACATTACTGTGGTGTACTGTCTGCATTGGCCAAATTATTTGGTTTGTGGTCAAACAAGTGAGAGTAACCACTCTTTAAATCATTGTTGTCTGTTTTAACCTCAACATAAATGTTCTCTTTGTAGCATTTACTGCTGCAGAAGCGCTCAGGGTGGGGGAATGAAAGCCGTGTGATGTTCAGACAGGTATCCAGAAAATTATACTTGGAGTCTGTAAAAGTAGCACAGGAACTCACAATGTACCATACCATCTGCAATATACCAAAAGATATTGCAGAATTACTGACATATGTAAGCTTAAAAAAACAACTTTTTGCTCCTCTTTGGAGGAAGGAGAAATTCTCTATTGTCCTCATGTTCTTTTTAGTCTGATCACTGAAAGAAATACTACTGGGAGGTTTTGCTGTGCAAGCTGGCTGCAAAGGAATTAGGATGATAAATTGGTAGAAGACATTTTCTATTTACAGGATTTCCAACTTTTCATGACTGAGGTCTGTTCTGAGAGTTGCCTGAAATGAGGAAAAAAACCCACCAACCTACTTGCTTGACTTGTTCTTATTTTCTAGCTGCATTCACATGATCTGTTGATAATACTTTAGGTTTAATTCAGACATGTAGGAGAGTGATGAACAACAGTATGAATACTGAGAAATAACTGGCAACTTGAGGTGCTATGAACTTCAACTGCTATCTGATTTTCTTCCCTTAGTCAATTTTTCCTCTAATAGTTCATAAACAGAAATAAATTTCAAGTTAAATGTGTCAGAGCCAGTCATTTTTTCAGCTGGTTCTACTGCAGTTTCTCAGGAGTCTGCACACAAAGTGAAACAATAATTTGACCGTGATACATTAATTTCTATTTAAACAGCATAAAAGATGAAGTTGCTAATGTGAAAATTTAACCTACAGTTGAATGACAAAAAAAAGAAACCAGCTAAATGAAGTAGCATACACATATTACAGGAAGTGTCTTAATTGCTTGCACAGTAATTTTATATGCCCTGTCATGAACATTGCAGTACTCCTGTTTATCACAGAATTATTGTCTTTCCTCTGCCACAGGAACTCATTATACAATGACAAATGGAGGAAGCATCAACAGTTCAACACATTTACTGGATCTTCTGGATGAACCAATTCCTGGAGTAGGAACGTACGATGACTTCCATACCATTGACTGGGTTCGAGAGAAGTGCAAAGACAGAGAAAGGCATAGACGGGTACATGAGATCAATAACAATACTTGGAAGACATGTTTATTTGGATGATAGAGTTGAGGTCTGGGTTAGTAGTGGATATAAATATATGCAGACTTTAAATTTATGAGTATTTATATCAACTAGAACGACCCTCATGCTATAAATAATGCACTGATTTGCTGATGCCTGGAATCTTGCAACAGCATTTTGACTTGAAGCAGTAATTCAACTGAGTGGGAATAGTCATGCTCTACCTCCCTCCTCACCATGCCCCCTTTCCCAGTGCAGTTTTACAGTACTGTTTTGCTTGCAGTTGTTGTATACTTAAGGCTATTTTCCACCGTAGATGAATTTGCAGTAGTCTGATAGTGCTTGTGGTGATACTGTACAGGTGTGTCTGTGCTACTGCTGAGTAGTGCTGTGGTTGTTTTGACTGTGAAAAGTGAAAATTCTCATATCTAAAAGCACTGATGAGCATGTATATGTTTAACAAAAAAAAGTGGACCCAAAATAGGGAATGTCCTTTTTACTCTCTCACCCCAAAACTTGATTTATTTATCAGATCTTCTAAGTTGAGGCCATTCACCTTCCTCAATGTTCTTTGCTATGAGTTCTTTCGTGACCTGTTCTCTAGCTGTATTACTGTTAGACAAGATAGCATCAGTCATTTAACAGACTTGTTTAATAATCTTTGGGGAGGAAATACACTGTTTGGGGCCTGATTGCAAAACTTGTAGAATGCTTACACTAAATTGCCCGAAAAACAAAAATAAATTTGGAGATGAAATCTCTCCTGAAATATTTTTAGCTGATCAAAATGAATAGTTAAAAATGAGTCATAATTGTAGGGAGGAGTCAGGAAAGAGACTTTTTCACATTCAACACTCTGTAGTTATTCTGCTTTCTTTGAGGACATCCATTTTTAGCTTTCTGGCAGCAGTGTTTTTACTCTGACATGATTGAAAAAGAAATCTTAACACCAGTCCAAAAAGCAAAGCATCCGCAGTTCCACTGTCTGTAGTCTTTTTAGGGGAGTGGAAGATCCTTGGGCAGTGGATCTGTGCACATATGTCCTGTGATTGAATGTTTTGTTTTTTTTTTTAAAGTAAGGTGTTTTCTGTGCGATGCTTTATTTCATAATTTCATTTCTAAATGTGTTTATGCCACAAATGTGTATGTTAGTATCTAGTGGATATTCAAGTGGATAGAATGATAGGATTCACCAAATCATGACAAGACAAATCATATCTGGGAATAGATTATGTAAAGTGAAGTCTCACAGCTGTTATTTATTTTAACATTTGAGACCAGAGAAGTTGGACAGAATTTACAGTTTACAGGATTTACAGTTACAGAACTACTAAGAAATTTATAAATATGTTCTGAATGACAGGAGAGTGTCTAGTTGTGTAATCAGAGATGTAAGAGAAGGAAGGATGTATTTTGAAAGACATGCTGCTGCAGAAAGCTGATTTGGGGGGAGAGGGGGGGGGGAGATTCTGAAAATAAATGCATTTCTTTTGGGGATGGTAATTCTTGTCTGGATTTCCTTGCCTACTATTCTGCTTTCTTCTTATTATTTTTATTTTATTTTATTTTATTTATTTAATGATTTCTCTCTGCAGATTAACAGCAAGAAGAAAGAATCAGCATGGGAGATGACAAAAAGTTTGTATGATGCATGGTCAGGATGGCTCGTAGTCACACTTACTGGCTTGGCATCAGGTAATTTAAAAAAAAAAAAAAAGTATTTCTTTATTTTACTCTTCCTTTGTGTGTTATCTACCAACTTTGTCAAAAGCTGATTGAGGCTTGCACTTTAATTTCATGAGGGAAAAAATACAGTGGCTATCTTGATTTTTAGGTAAAAGCATTTTACAGGAAGGATTTACTAATGAAGTAGGAAACAAAAGCTTTTTCCACTGAATTTATTTTAGGGATGAGTTCTACAGCTAATATTGTTTGATAGCTTGTGGCCTCACTGTGTTTCTGTGCTGCTTTCCATCGTCATGGTTTGGAGTGACCAAAATGTGCAGTAGTAAGAGGCTGCAAACTTTTTGCCCAATTTTTCCAAATAGGTGTTTTTAAACAGAATTGTTAGATTAAATCCTAGGAAGATTTGATCATAGTTGCATAACATGGATACACTTATTAAGAAGGCATGGTAAGTGTATAATTACTTCTTAACATATATACATAATCCCTTTCACAAATCACATATAGGTTAATGTATATGCAAAGTGTGTATATACCTCTGAATATACAAACTGTGAGTGTATAATTATTGGAAATTGCTTATGTTAACTTGGGTGAGAAAGTGCTGTGGTTTTGTGTGGCTTAGGTCTTGTCTTTTTTTTTTCTCTTACTTCTGCTCCAAATATGCAGTGCATATTAAAACCAGCAAATTCTGTTCATGGAGATTCCTCAGTTTCTTTCAGTCTCAATTGTTTTCTCTTGTATGTGTCCAGTGAGTCTTAAGTAGTATAAGTAGTATAGCCTTGATTTCAGTCATGGAGAAGTCTTACGTTTGTGTATTTCAGATGATTTAATTTAAATTCTACTCTACCGAAACACTGTGTTAGAATTTGTTTGGCCCAGAATCTCAAACTGAGGGTCTCTGGAAACTAGGAAATATAGATCAGTAAATGAGGGGAAAATGTTTCTGGAACTCAGACTGGTAATGGAACAGCTGCCCAGAGAGGTTGTGGGTGCCCCATCCCTAGAGGTATTCAAGGCCAGATTGGATGGGGCCCTGGGCAGCCTGGTCTGCTATTAAATCTGGAGGTTGGTGGCCCTGCACACAGCAGGAGGGTTGGAGATTCATGATCCTTGAGGTCCCTTCCAACCTTGGCCATTCTGTGATTTACAAAAAGAGATGACTTTAGATGTGTTTTTACAATATACTGTTGCCACATAAAAGTGTTTTGTTTTTTTATTTTCTTTAAATAAGGTTATTTAAATACTTTTAAAAAGAACCCTTAGAAGCAAATTTCTACTGAATGCCTTTCTGAGGGCTTTTCAGTAGGTTTTCAGCATATAGTTGCCACACAGAATCCCTCTTAAGCTTTGAGTTGGAGAGCTACTTTTTTCTATACTGCTTGTTACCTGCAGTAGGAATTTTACATGTTCACCCTGAGACATTTATATGGTATTTACTTACGATGTTCTAACAGTATTGTTGGCATGGTAAAAATTATTTGTTCAAAATATCTTGTTCTGTACAAACTGTGCTCTAATAGCTAAGGAGCCTGATCAGGTTGTTTGTTGAAGGTGCATTATTGTTTTTGTCAGAAAACTATGAGTCCTCTCTTGACTCATTTGTTTTAGTGGAGAAGTATATACTGGAGAAGTATAGCTTGGGTAAAAGAAGAGATAAAAGGAAAAGGGAGGAGAAGAGACATTATTTTTTCTGGACCTCCCCCCATCTAGGCATGCTAGAAGGAGTCCAGCAGAGGGCCATAGAGGTGGGAAGGAACTGGAACACCTCTCCTGTGAAGAAAGACTGAGAGAGCTGGCCTGTTCAGCCTGGAGAAGAGATTCATGGGGAATCTCATCAACGTCTGTAAATACTTGAAGGGAGGGTGCAAAAAAGGTGGACCCTGACCCTTTTCAGTTGTGCTCAATGACAGGATGAGTGATGGTAGGCACAAACTGGAACCATGAGGAAGCAGTTTTTACTGTACAGGCCGTGGAGCAGTGATAATAGGTCGCCCTGTAGAGGCTGTGGAATTTTCTCCTTGGAGATCTCCAAAAGTTGCCTGGATGTGGACCTGGCCAGCCTGCTCTGGGTAGCCCTGCTGGAGCAGATGGGGTTTGAGAAGATAGACCCAGGGCCTTGCCCACTGCAGCCATCCTGTGGCTGTGCAATTCTGTGATTATCCTGAGAAATATGCAAGATATTAGATTCGTTAGGAAATATTAATCTCACTGTATTGCTAATATAATATGGTTCTGGAAATCAGCGATGTTTTAAACATTTCTTTCTTCAGATTTTTTGTAATTTCCGTTTACATGAATTAATGTCTAACTGTTTCTACAACAGGGGCGCTGGCAGGATTAATTGACATTGCTGCTGACTGGATGACTGACTTAAAGGAAGGCATTTGCCTTAGTGCTTTGTGGTTTAACCATGAACAGTGTTGCTGGGGTTCAAATGAGACCACGTTTGAAGAGAGAGATAAATGTCCACAGTGGAAAACTTGGGCAGAACTAATAATTGGGCAAGCAGAAGTAAGTATATACTTGTACTGTGGAATCATTACTCAACAGCTCTACTGACTACAGAAAAGAATAGATAGGGTAATAAATTTAGGGATTGGGTTCTGCTCAGGTTTCAGCATTTTAATTAATTAATTAGTTATACTCTAATAAGTGTGTCTTGGAGGACTTGGAGTGTTGCAGATGTAAGGAACTTATAAGGGGAGTATAGAGCTGTTAATAACATGAGAATTTTTATTCACAGTCATACAAAGCAAAAAAAAAAAATTCAGCTCCTCTTCCTTAGATAACAATAAATGTTGCTTTTGTTTTTCTCTCTAAACCAATTCTTAATATAGAAGACTTTCTTGGTATTAAGTAGATCTTACCATCTAATAGCTATTAAAATGTTTATTTCTGTTCATAATATGAAGTGTTAGAACACTTTTTAACTCATATAATCTAGTCTTTGCTGTGCTTTCTGGTACATTCTGGTAACTTGGTAATAATTACTTTCCCTTGAAATGTGTACATGCACGTACATTACAAGAAGAGTACTTCTCTGCTGTTTTAAGCAGTGACTTTGTTCCTACACCACATTTGTATTCTTACATTTTGGGGTTTTTCTTTTTGTCTTTAGGGTCCGGGTTCGTACATAATGAACTACATAATGTACATTTTCTGGGCTTTGAGCTTTGCCTTCTTAGCAGTTTGTCTGGTGAAGGTGTTTGCTCCATATGCCTGTGGCTCGGGGATACCTGAGGTGAGCTCTAATTAATAGTTACATTATAGATGTTTATAGATACAAATGTGGAAATTCCTGCTGCCCTGCAGGACCAGAAGAAGAGGCAAGAGGGTGGCCCCTGTGAAATACTTCCAGTATTAAAATTTAAATGAAGTAATTTTCCTAACTGTTGCTGAAAAAAGAGTCTGAAACTTCAGATATTGAGTTCATAGGTTTTCCTCCACAGCTCTAATCCATGCCCTGCAGTAATAAGAGAATAGTAGTTCATTAATAGAATATGGGTCCTAAGAGACAGCAATTGATGTTCTATTGCACTCACTTTAGTCTTCTGAAATAGCGCACACAGTCAGACCATCAGCTAACAAGGAAACTCATTTAATAACCCTGGAAACTCATTCTTTCTACATTTGCTCTCTGCAGCTATATGCAATGTGGTGAGAGGTGGGGGGGACAGAAGAAAATTTTGGACTGTCACACTATTCCCATCAGTCTGTAAATATTTCTTCATGTATTTGTACTGTGGAAATGGTGGGACAAATCTTGCCTTTATATTAAGCCTGGAGTACTTTGTGCCATTATTCTATGTAAGATTTCATCCTAAATTGATCTCCAAATTTAGCTAACCTTCAGTTTCAAGAAACAGCTGGCCATTGTTTTGTGTAGATCCCGTTTATACACGTACTGTTCTTTGTTTTGGTAACTATGTTATTTTCTATATAGAATCACAGAATGGTTTGGGTTGGAAGGGACCTTTAAGGTCATCTAGTTCCACTCCACCTGCTATAGGCAGGGACACCTCCCACTAGATCAGGCTGCTCAAAACCCCGTCTAGCCTGGCCTTGAATTCTTCCAGGGAGGGGGCATCCACAACCCCTTTGGGCAACCTGTTCCAGTATTTCCCCACCCTCACAGTAAAGAATTTCTTCCTAATATGTAGTCTCAATCTGCCCTCTTCCAGTTTAAAGCCATGTCCCCTCATCCTGTCGCTACCTGCCCTTATAAAAGTCACTCCCCAGCTTTCCTGTAGGCCCCCTTCAGGTACCAGGAAGCTGCTATAAGATCTCCTCGAAGCTTTTACTTCTCCAGCCCATCCGCATAGCAGAGGTGCTCCAGCCCTCTGATTATCTTCGTGGCTCTCCTCTGGACCTGCTCCAAGAGCTCCATGTCCTTCTTGTGTTGGGGGCTCCACAACTGGACACAGTACTCCAGGTAGGGTCTCATGAGAGCAGAGTAGACAGACAAAACCACCTCCCTGGACCTGCTGGTCACACTTCTCTTGATGCGACCCAGGATGTGGTTGGCCTTCTGGGCTGCAAGTGCACATTGCTGGCTCATGTTGAATTTCTGATCAATCAGCACTCCCAAATCCTTCTCCTCAGGGCTACTCTCAAGCCATTCTTCGCCCAGCCTATATCTGTGCTTGGGATTGCCCTGACCCAGGTGCAGGACTTCATACGTGGCCTTGTTGAACTTCTTGAGGTTGGCATGGGCCCACCTCTTAAGCCTGTCCAGGTCATGTATGGGTGTATTTTGCAGACTAATGACATAATGCTTCTAGGCAAAGTAGTGTCCTTGGAAATTGAGGTATACTTTTTATTGAAAAAGACTGATTTTTCTATTTTGAAGTCAATGTTAATTTTTTGTTTAGCAAGAAAAAAGCAGGAAATAGGGGGAAAAAATTGAAAGGGGATAAATTGGTACAAGGGTTTTAAGTCAACAATAGAAGATCTTGACGTGTAATGTTAGCAGATGCGTTTTTCCTTCAGGAGTTTTCTGGCTTTTACTTAGAATTTACATAATAAACTAATGAATGCAGTTTTAGAAGCTGCTGCAGATACATTTTTTACTAAATATGATGATGTTGATGTATGCTATCACCTTATGTTTTACAGTTATTTGTGAATGGAAATCCTCTGGCAACCAGTTTGGCTATCTGAGAATACATATTTTAACATGTGACAGTTATTCATTTGAGAGGGCTGTTTTTGGAGTTACTTGTCTAAAATTACTAATAAGTAATTATTTACCAAAGCAAGTAGAATATAGTACCAATTTTGTTTTCTTCCAGATAAAAACTATTTTGAGTGGCTTCATCATCAGAGGTTACCTGGGAAAGTGGACTTTGATGATAAAAACCATCACTTTAGTCTTGGCTGTAGCATCAGGTTTGAGTTTAGGAAAAGAAGGTCCCTTGGTACATGTTGCCTGCTGCTGTGGGAATATTTTTTCCTACCTCTTTCCAAAGTACAGCACAAACGAAGCTAAAAAAAGAGAGGTAAGTTCTTGTAAAGACATTTTTAGAATGTACTGATTATCCATGTGCTTAGTAAAAAAAGCCGAAACACTGATTTGTTAAAAGATTATATTTGTTCTCTTAGCTTGTGTTTAGATTTGGATTTTTTATAGGTTTTTTGTTTGTTTGTTTTAAAAACAACATATTACCCTTAGTGTTCTACAAGGTAAGTAGTTTCCACGTTGGAGCATTTCTGCCTTTCTCCCACCTCATAAGAAACCATTTGATTTTTCCTTACGTTCTCTCTTCTTGACTCATTTTGGCAGTAGTCTCCAATTGTGAGGGCAGCAGAGCATCTTTGACCTCATGAACAAAGTTCTCCTGGGAGAGTTGATAACTGTACTGAGATTCTGTTCTTCATTTTAAAACACACCACAGAGTGCAGAAAACCTTCACCATGGTTCTTTTCCAGGTATTGTCAGCTGCATCAGCAGCGGGAGTGTCTGTGGCCTTCGGTGCCCCAATTGGTGGAGTCCTGTTCAGTCTGGAGGAGGTATGTCAGGAGACAGCACTAAGGGAAGGGTACTTAAAAATCTCTTCTAGTGTGAAAAATCTCAGACTCCTTTAAGTTGTGGAGTCCTACCTGAAAGAGAATTTAGTGTTGCATTTTGAAATTGAGTTCTGTTACTAGCAAACTTTAAAAGATTTTATTTATTTACTTACTTTAAATGAATGTAAATTTTGCTGGAGTTCAGCTGAGTCAGCTAATGATTACAGTTTACATAGAGAGATACACCAGTTTTTCACTCTAGAAATGCAGTCTAAAAAGAAAAATTATTGGGCTGCTTTTGTCGTTTCATAGGAGACTTTAGAAACCTTTTTGACAGTTCTCTGAAAGAAGTTTTTAAACATTATTTTCTTTAATGTTTCAGATGCTAAACACAATTGAATACAATGCTAATAACAGTAGTTATTAGTAAGTCAAGAATAATTAAATCTGACCACAAGGGCCATCAAACTCTGAGAAATGGCACTGAGAAATGTTTCTTACTATTTTTATTTTTTAAGTCTTTCCAGGATTTGTTGTCATTGACTTACAAATAATTCTCACGTATTTCTTTTTGCAGGTCAGTTACTATTTCCCACTGAAAACTTTATGGAGATCATTTTTTGCTGCTTTAGTAGCTGCATTTGTTTTAAGGTCCATCAATCCTTTTGGTAATAGCCGCCTAGTTCTTTTTTATGTGGAATATCACACTCCTTGGTACCTTTTTGAACTGCTACCTTTTATTCTTTTGGGAGTATTTGGTGGGCTCTGGGGAGCATTTTTCATCCGAGCAAACATTGCATGGTGCCGTCGACGCAAATCTACAAAATTTGGGAAGTACCCTGTCCTGGAGGTCATCATTGTTGCAGCAATAACAGCTGTCATTGCATTTCCTAATCCATATACGAGGTTAAACACTAGTGAGCTTATTAAAGAGCTCTTCACAGACTGTGGGCCACTAGAGTCCTCCTCCCTCTGTGACTACAGAAATGATATGAATGCAAGCAAGATAGTAGATGATATTCCTGACCGTCCAGCAGGCACTGGAGTCTATTCAGCTATCTGGCAATTGTGTTTAGCACTCATATTTAAAATAATCATGACAGTCTTCACATTTGGTATTAAGGTAAGTGTGAATGCAATGGCTACATCGTCTACTGTGATTATTTTTCTTTGCTACTGCCTTTTTATTTTTTCATCTCTCAAAGCTAGCAGCTTTGTTTATAGATTTCTTTCTCTGTATATGGTTTTAGATCTCTTAAGAAAAAACTTTACTGTTGATTACTGGTTGCTGCTAAGATAAATCTGTTAGGTATATTTTAAATGTTAGCTTTCCATAAGACAGAATTTCAGTTATCACTCTCGAATTCTGTTGTATAGATTTCACTTATATCTAGGACCCTGCCGTTCTAAGCATTAGGACACCTTTTACCATTTAACCATTGTAATACCTGTACTGTGTCTTACCATTCCTCTGTTCATGTGCATCTGGCTTTCTCACAAAGTTGTCAGCCCAGGAGCACACACGGTGTATTAGAATTCACAAACTTACACAAAGGTAGAGCTTCTTGATCTGTTTTTGGTTCCTTCTCTCATAACTTCAACAATTGCAATTTGTTGGAAATATTATTGGCAAAGCAACTCAGCTGCCTGTGGGATACGGTGATTCCAACTGCTTTTACTGCCATGAACAGAGATTGCCAGGGGATTGATAAGGCAACATATTTTTTTCCAGGCCTTAACACAGCTAAGCTGCAAAAGTAAATAGGTTGTATGTATGCAGGATTTTATTTTCAGTAAACGTGTTACTATTTATAAATGCCAAGGATGAACATTTTGGGATGAGATTGTAGTTTTGCCTCAAACCTGACTGGTATGCACCTGCATTGCAAGAGAAGTTTTTATATCCTGATTCCTTGTTTGTCTTAAAGATGATGCATTTGCCACAGTATAAATGATTTTCTCTAAAGTGTAATTTGAGTTGGGCACTTTATGCACTGGAAAAGAAAGTTGAGACAAGGTAAAACCTGATTTATCTTCATTGCTCTTTTTGTGGTGAGGTTCCTCTCTGCCTTGTGACATGTGAGTCAGAGGCTTATGCTAAAAAACTTACCTGTAAAATTGCAATCAGAGTTAGACCTTTAACTTATTATCCGCATGTGATGAAGAGAAGGAGCTAGATGCATGAGCAATTCATGTTAACAAAGGACCAGGAATTTGAATGTAGTCTCCATTTGGAGACTGAATTACTGTGGCATACTCAGTGTAGCAAACTAGAAAGTCAGCAGTTTCAAAGATACATTCTACTACTTCTGTGTCTATAATATAAATTTTTCAGGGTGTTACTGCAGTGTGCCCCAAGAATGATTTTCACTCAGAAAAAAAGAAAAAAAAAGAAAAAAAAGAAAAAAGTACATAACAATTAAAAAGGGTTTCAGACACACAATTAATTGTAGGAAATAGAATTAGTGATGTCAGTGCACAATTTTACTTTTAGCAGAATATGGCATTGAACAGTTACTGCTGTCTACACTGAAATATTAGGTAATTCAGGATGGGAGTGAAGGATTATTAAACCTTTTCAATACAACTAATGCAGGTGGCTTTGAAATAAATTGTGGAATATTGATTTGTCCTTGGTTTACCCGTTAGAAATTCTTTGCAACAATAAATGTTGTCAATATAATAATAATGTAAATAGAATCTGAAATACAGTTCTGCATCAGCTACTGGATTCCATGGCAAAATCTACTTACAAGCTGTATAGTGCATACATTTCACAGCTCTACAGTGGAAAAAAAAATTAAATGGCTTTTCCTGTGACACCAATGCTATGATTTCTTTAAAATGAAATTATTTTGACAAAGGTGTGTTTAAACAAAAAGTAAAAATTGTAGTTGAGATTCATACCTTGGTCACAGTGAAATATATTTCTGATTGTAACAACTGCTATGAGGGGAAGCAACAGGCATTTCCAGTTTAATGAGATGTTTAGATGCAGCATGGATTTGGTTTGTTTGTTTTATTTCTGGTTTGTTTGGGGTTTTTTTGTTTGTTTTTTTTTTGGAAAGGAGGAGAAGAGGCACAACAGCAGTGTCTCTGAATCCTCACTCCTTTTGCAGCTACAGGGCTAAACAAGACTTGTCATACCAGAATGGTTTAGTTAAATCTTATTGCAATGCTATGTAGCCTATTTGAGTTAAGTTAATAACAGAAAAACAGATCAAATAACTAAAACTACAGTAGACACATGTTTGTTGTTGTTTTTTAATAGTAAAGCATTAATCTGCTTTTTTTGTCTTAGGAATTTGCATTAAGTTTTCCTAACCTTGCAGTGTTTTTAATGTGACAGTCTGAGTGTTTGCATTTCTTTTTAAAATACGCAACAAATATGTTCCCATCAGTGTGGTAGCAGTTATTCCATTTCTGTTGTAGGTTCCATCTGGGTTATTCATACCCAGTATGGCAATTGGAGCAATAGCAGGAAGGATTGTAGGAATTGCAGTGGAGCAGCTGGCTTACTATCATCACGACTGGTTCATTTTCAAGGAGTGGTGTGAAGTTGGAGCTGACTGTATTACTCCTGGTCTTTATGCCATGGTTGGTGCTGCTGCCTGCTTAGGTAACTAAAGTGTAACAAAGCAAATATCTGATTTTTATTTTGTTTTATGTGAGAAGTGGGGATATGTATAAATGTGCTGTATGGGAACACCTGCTATAATGTGGACTTCTCTTTCTTCAGAAGAAGACACTCACATGTCTTCATGTAAACATTAGATCCTTATGATATAAGGAATAATAGGAAATTGACTATGTGATTGAAAAGAAAGTAACTTAAATAGGAGTTTGCTTTTTCTTTTTGGCATAAATAGGAATAATTACGTATTATAGGTGTCATATACATTAAAAAGTATAAAACAAAGTTGAAAACGTTGAAGTTGCTACAAGGAGGTGACATGATCTGCTGCCACTTCTACATGAATAACAACAGATGTTCTTGAAGTTCATTAATCCAAACAGAAACTTTAGAAGCCCATAATGATCTGGGGAGTCCAGTTACAGGTCTGTTATGAGGCCTGATTTACAAACTGTTGAAAACCTGCTTCACTGGAAGAAGATTACACTGGGCACCTAAACTAGGAGAGATTTCATGAAGGTCTTGTCCTAGCTTAAGCGCTATCATGTACAGTAGTGGAATGGGTCTGGTTCTTAGAGAGGTTGTTCTGTTGTTTTGGGGGAAATTTTTTTCTTTTTTTAAATGGTTCAACCAAAATCACTTTGAATGTATTGAAAGAAGAATACGATTTCTTTGAAAGAAGGCATGGTATCAGAACTGTTTGTAGTACATACATTTTGCGTGCTGGCAAAGGAGAAATATAACTCCTTTCTTCTGTCATCGTTCAAGAAAGTTTTCACCAGCTTACAGTTCTCTTTAGTTTTTATAATTCAACAGCAGCATTATATTCATAATTCTTTGGACAGTATTGCTGTTGAATTGTTATCTGTTCCTTTCCTGCATTTGTGTCATTCTTTTTCCAAATTACTATCTTACTGGGTTTGGATTTGTTAATTTCTCAGTATTTTTAACTTAGGAATGGCTTGGAAAAGCATACAGTTGTGTGCTTCTCTTTCATGTAACTTAAGAACATATTTTTAAAATCCTTTTACTTTCTGACCTTCAGGAATTTTCCCTAAGGCTCTTCTACTTCTAAACTTTGTGTTCATTTTTCTTGTGTGCTTTTGTTATGAATGACGTTTGTCAGATGCCATAAATGGCAAAGTTATGTTTGCAGTTCTCAGCAGGAAGGCAGGAAATATAAGTTCAGTATTATTTGACATTACTGACTGCCATTTTTCTTGCAGGTGGTGTAACAAGGATGACTGTGTCCCTGGTAGTTATTGTCTTTGAGCTAACAGGAGGGCTGGAGTATATTGTGCCCTTAATGGCTGCAGTCATGACCAGTAAGTGGGTAGGAGATGCCTTTGGTAGGGAAGGCATCTATGAGGCACACATCCGACTGAATGGATATCCCTTCTTGGATGCAAAGGAGGAATTTACTCACACAACACTGGCTGCTGATGTTATGAGACCTCGAAGAAGCGACCCACCGTTAGCTGTTTTAACACAGGATAATATGACAGTTGAAGACATAGAAAACTTGATCAACGAAACCAGCTATAATGGTTTTCCTGTTATTATGTCAAAAGAATCGCAGAGACTAGTGGGCTTTGCTTTAAGAAGAGATTTAACTATTGCAATAGGTAATTATCTCCCAATATTTTATGATTATATATTCTAATAGAAATTATTAGAAAGTTTAAAAGAGAACTTACTCTCTGTGTTTCTACTTATTTCAGGTTTAAGGTCCAGATACCTTGCGTAGACTATTGCTTTACTGAAGGATATTGATTATCTCCAATAGCAGACCATAAAATAAAATGTTAATCTTTGTGCCTTTGTGTACAAGACTTATAGGTCAGACTGGCATCTAGTCCGGTCTTTTTGTTTGTTTTGTAGTGTTTGATGACAGTTCTTTTCCTCAAGGGCATTCAACCTTCCTCAAAATCCTCAACCGTCTTCAAAATTGAGTAATTCCCATTTGAAGGAGCAGGATTCAGTCAGAGTTACTGTCAAAGTCATTGTAAAATGTAAATGAGCATCAAGCTTCTCTTTGGGAGTATTTTATTTGCCTTTTTCTTTTGTTGCTTTTCTTTGTTCAACAACTAATACTGTACTGTGGAGAGATGAGTGAAATATTTTACATTTCTTACTGTAGTTTGTCTGTGTGCTGTGAATTTGGCACTGGGTACACATGCCCTGTTCGGGCCCTGTCTCTGGATGGCTGTTAGAAATTGTCTGGTAACTGGAGCTGTGCTTTGTGCCTTGGCAAAAGGAATGTGGATTTTGAAATTACAGTCGCCAGCAAAAGGAAATAGAATTATTATTTAAGAAATACTTGTACATAAAATGAGTGATGGAAATTGTCTTAAAATACTCATATTTCTTCATAATTTGTAAGGTTGTATATTGACAGATATCTCTTTAGGAAAAAAAGCAATTGCTCAGAAAGTTGGAAAAAAAAGTTCTTAGGAACACAACACCAAGTACTGAAGTCAAACTTTTGTCTTACAATGTGTATACTGTGTTCCTACACCATGCAGGAGGTATATAAATGTCCTAAACTTGAAAAGCGTTATGGAAATCGTATGATTTTAAGTTTATATTTACTTAAGACTAGAAGGAGGAATAGCAAAATACTGTTCTAATAAAACACTTCCACAGTTAAAACTTATTTCAGTTGCAGAGAGTGCATGGTGCATAGTGCTTTGTCTTGGAGTCATTCGGTGAGATAGCTTGGGGTGCAAGGGGAGTTACTCATGTAGCCAAAGTACTGAAGAGGATACAGATCAAGTTCACTAAAAGCTAAATACATTTGCACAAGTAAGACAGTAATCACAAGGAGATCAGAAATGAGGAGGTTGTAATCACTGATGGTTTGAAACCATTTATTTGTTGTTCTTGTAGAAGAGCTATCAGATCAGCTTTCTTTTTGACAACTGCTTCAGCTGCTGCATGCTTCCTGTATGTTAGCTTTTCAGTATTTCCACCTCTCCATAGTAAATAAATTTTATTTTTGCTGTTGGATTGAGAAAGGCAGTAGCTGAAAGATGGCTAAAGCTGTGTGATATATAGCTTTTGTGATTTCTGCACAAACACAACTCAGGAATAAAGCAGTGACTACAGAAACACAATGTCAGCATGTCAGCATCACAGCCCGGTGGTGTTGATTGAACTTTGCACTTACTCCAAAAATGTAAATCTTCATGCTCTTTTTTTTTCTTTCCCACTCTCTCCCCTTAAAGAAAGCGCAAGGAAGAAGCAGGAAGGGATTGTTGGCAGTTCCAGGGTCTGTTTTGCCCAGCATACCCCATCACTTCCAGCAGAAAGCCCTCGGCCTTTGAAACTTAGAAGCATACTTGACATGAGCCCTTTCACCGTGACAGACCACACACCTATGGAAATAGTGGTGGATATTTTCCGGAAGTTGGGTTTGAGGCAGTGCCTTGTGACACACAACGGGTGAGTTCATGTGGTAGCAATTCTGTTTTCTTTTGTTGGGTATAGTAATTTCCCTTCTGGGATCAAAGCTTTGATGGTGTTTGAACCCATACATTTGGTGCAGTATGTCAGTGACAAGAAGTTGCACGTCTCTTGAATTCTTACTTCTCCTGTATTTCAAGTAAGCAGGCAGGTAGTTTCTGTGTGTTTTTGGTTTTTTTAAAAGGTTTTCTTTAAAAAGAAAAAATTTAAAAAGTGGAATACATCAGCTGTACAACATTACAAATACTGCGTTCATAAAATGCGGTGAAAAAAGATAATATCCATTCAGTGTCTCCTCTTCTGGAGTTTAGTAATGGCAATTGCCACCAAGCTGTTAGTTTTGAAATACTGAAAACTAACTAACTGCTACTAGTTCTGAAACTTCATCTGCAGCAATTGTACAATTCAAAATACTTGAAGAAGGTAACTTCTTCAGTTCAGAAGAAGATGTAGAATGTTTGTAAATATGACTATGGGGGTTGTTATGTGGTCACCACTTAATAAATCAGCCCCAGGCGAGGAAATGGAGAAATATTTGTTATAATTGTCTCGTATCTGAACTATTTCTTTTTTTTTACAAGATCTTTTGAGTATGGTTCTACTTCAGCATTCTGCTTTCCTGTATCTCTTGTGTTAAGCACTTGGCACATGATACTGCAGCTTCTACCACAGTGTCTTGGCTTTCTCTCTAGCATCTTTTTAAATCACATGAGAAGTGAAGCACTGCCTGCTAATCTACATTATTTAATACCAGTGTTCATGGCACAAAGCTAAGAAACCTGAAACATAGATGGTATTAATTTATTTTTGCTCTGGGCAAAAGGAGTGCTGCTCTAAGTGGCAAATATTGAAATAGTGCAAATTTCCAAATTTGTTTCTTAAGATGTCTTCTAAAACAAATGTATCTTAAATGTGCTCCTGTTTTTTGTTGTTGTTGTTGCTTTCTGATTTTTTTTTTAATTTGCTTTTTATTAAATTCATCTTTGTGTGGAATGGCAAGTAGGTGCTTTTAGAAGCATAAATAGCTCTTAAAAAAAGCTTTCTCTGCCAGGCCATCATGATCTGCCATCATGATTACAAGTCAGTGCAGACATACAATTATTGCTATTTATGCAGGGAAATTTGAATTGGTAGAATTTCAGTGATAAATATTTATTACTGTGGGTTTTTCTCTTAGTTTCTGTTGTGGTTGAGTGCTCAAACATTAGCACTGATGTGAAAAATGGCTCTAAAGAGAGATTGATCTTGTAAAGGTATGTCAAACTGTAGTGTAAGTTTTTAATTATATGATGATAAAGTAACCACAAATATGGGAGACTTTGCTTTGTTGTTTTCTGATACTCATGTTTGTTGTCCCATTTCAGTTTATAAACTTGTGATCTTCCATGAGAATGCTGTCCATTACAAGGTTGGATAGTTAATCCCTGAGGTCCAGTTGGCTATACGCCACCCAGAGAATTTGTCTGAATTTTGGCAAATTTCATGCACGTTGAATAGAGATATATAGACAGATATACACAAATCCAGTTACAGTTAGGAATCGTGCAGAAATTAGTGCTGATGATGGATACGGATATATATAAAGACTGAGCCTGATTCTTTCTAGCTTTTATCACAGCATCCATTCTAAGGTGCTGCTCTTTGGTTATATTATGATAAATGAGAAATTGGTTTGAATTTGTTCCCAGGGGCCGGGTAACCCTGCTGTGTAGTGAAGCTTCAGACCTCAATTTCTGTGACTTTACAGATACTGCTTTGGTCATTTACTGTAGCTTGTTATAATGCGAATAGTGATTTGTATTTGTGAGGAGAAATAACTAGTAAACAAAGGAGATCAAGTGGATTTTAGTTTCAGTGCCTCTAAAATCTCAAGAAATTAGAATTTGGGGAGAAGGGCTAAAGTATGCTTCCCCTGTGTGTATGTGATAGAGAAACATACTGCTGTGGGGTTGTTGGAGATCAAACATTTGGAGGGGAAAAAAAAAGTCTGGGAATGGGTGCTGAGTTTCAAACCATTTTCATTTAACTATCTCATTAGCTTTCTTGCAACCCATTTTCTTTTTTAGTTTTGCACTACTCTAAACCTTTTTCATTGTGACTAGAACTTTTTTGATTTGATTTCACACGCAGTTATTAGCATAACATGATCTGTTTCAGGATTGTCTTGGGGATCATCACAAAGAAGAACATATTAGAGCATCTCGAGCAACTAAAGCAGCACGTCGAACCCTTGGTGATTAGATATATCAGATCTCATAATTAGACACATTAGAAGTCAGGAAGCATGAAACTTGTGAACTGTTCAGTACTTTTATGACATCGGCTGAACAAAGAAATAATCCTGTATTAAAAATTCGTATTAAAGAAACTATAACAGAAAACAATATGTGCAAAATCCTTGTATAGAAATTAAGCAGTTACTATGGACGGTCTGTTAGTCACAACATTAAAGGAAGGTAAAAACAGAATTTGATATTTTGTTCTTTGGATCACACAGATCCACCTTTTGATTTCCCTCAATGGGAAAGCACACAGCTAGGAATACCTTTTCCCCCACAATGTAAATTTAATTTTTTTTCATATGCTGATTTTGACAGCTTTAAATAGCTGTTAAGTTGCTAATTAAGCAGTGTTTATTTTGAGGAGCAAAGTTCTTAATGTCTTGCAGCATCAGGTCTTCCCTGTAATCCCCGTTTATCAACTGGGAAATAAGGGCATTTTTAAAAACTGTGTGAAGTCCTTTAATTCTATACAAAGTCCTGGGATTCTGCTGCTGTTACCTACAGCAACTAGTGCACTCCAGTGGGACCCTAAGCTACTAAATGGCACACTAATGCATCTACTGTTGACTTCAGAATCTACATGCTGTTTTAAGTACGATGTTGTGATCTAACCTTAGTTGTAAGATAGACTTTGTCTTAATTTGGACATTGGTTGCTCTGCAATAGCTGCATCTTTGCTAAACCTAGCCACCAAGTTTAGCTGCTTATGTGCAAAACATGCTAATTATGTTCTCATTTTATGCTAATATTTCACAAGTATTTCATGCGTCCTTTAATAAATAAAAAAACCCAAACCAAAATGTACTAACCAAAATAACAAGGGCAGCAGCTCATTCATTCTGCTCTTTGCTTCTCCTGTGATATTATCCTTTTGGACAGTCTCACCCTTTTTGATGTTTCACAGAGTTTTGCTTTTAAAAGCAATTTAGTTGCTGTCATAAGAGCACAGTATCTAAAGTTGAAAATGAAAACTTTTATTATTCATAATTCATTTTCTGAAGCTGTGAACTCAAAAGCCTGGTCAACTATTCATGATTTTGGAAAAGTTTCATGGTCAATACAGTGTGCTCCTATGAATATATTCAGTCTGAGCCAGTGTGTCAGATGGGAAAGACCCTTGTGATTTTAAGAAAGAAGGGGAGGGGAGTCTGATTTGCTGCTAGGATTTGGGGGCCATCGAGCAGTGTGTCACTTCTGATGGCTTGGCTGGAACACACCTCCCTTCTGAAATGGGATCGGTATCGCTTCTTTTTCATACCTCCTTTTTCTTTGTCCTTCTTTATTTTATTTTTCTTTTACTTTTTTGTTGGCATAGCTAACCAAATTTCATTTTTGCGGAAACAAAACGTTAAATAAAAATTGTCACGGGCTCTACTTGCATTACTTCTATTTAATTAAAATGGACTACAGCTGTCAGAGACCATCCGGTATGGTGTCTCAGCACTGCTGTCTTTTAACAAACTGGTGGTTACTAAATATTTTGATTAATAAAATGCTTTTGTTTAAATAAGAAAATCAGGCTGTTTATTTTTGCTCTGTCCCTGTCAACAAAAAGGACTTGGCTACAGATGTGTTCTGTTTGACCGCTTTCCTCGCTCGGGTTAATACTGATGTTTGTTTATCCTTTCCAGGCGCCTCCTTGGCATTATAACAAAAAAAGATATCCTCCGTCATATGGCCCAGACGGCAAACCAAGACCCCGCCTCAATAATGTTCAACTGAAACCCATAGCTGAGGAGAGAGAGGAAACTGAAGAGGAGGTTCATTTGTTGAATAGCACAACACTTTAGTCTGGGAGATACTTCTAAAAATCAGAAATGAGAGCTGGGTTTTTGTGTAACAGTGCTGCTGGAAATCAGGAGTTGGTCTGGGGGAATATGTGGAGAGGAGGAAGGCTGTTGGGAGCATGGGAGCTGCTGTCCTGCACTGGATGCGTCCTGAGATGTCCGGTCTGCCATGATAGTGCAGTGGGAGAGCCGTGCAAGGTGGCACAATTCTCCAGCCCCAGCCTGGTACTTCAGCATCAAAGAGATGTGTTACTAGTCCCTATTTCTGGAGGGATCCTTCTGAATTGAGCCATCTTATGGAGACTGAAAGGTCTTGCCCTTTTTATCATTGAGAACTGTTGTGTTAACTCATGAAATGTATAATTATTACACGTCACCTTTCTACATTCCAGAAGAGCTTTATTTCTCTCTCTCCTGAGCCGTTACAAAGCCTCTTTAAATTGGTGTGCCCTTTTGAAGTAGTTGTTTCTCATATTGAGATGTACTGTGAGTTACTGAGGTTGGATCGCAAGGAGGGAGGTTTTGCTTGTGCCATTAAATGTGTGAGGTTGAACATCATGAAGTGCTTGGGGCAGTACAGATCTACTGCGACAAAAGCAAACTGAGCAGGAAATACCTTGCAAGAGCCATGCGAAACATCTTTCAGCCCATCTGCTGTGATAAGAGAAAAAGTAAAAAATAGAAAGTAGAGTTGCAGAGAAAAATACTGGTTTTGCTGCAGAAAGTATCAATAATGTGACCTGATCTTATGCAATTTTTGTATTGTCGAAACACTAGGGTATATACCAATGTTGTGCAGTACCAGGAAAAGTACTGCTGTTCTACTAGTTAAGAGCTGGAACAATTCTGTATACGTGTGTCTGGAAAAATGCATGCTACAACACTGGAGATATTTCCCCTCTGTAAAGTTTGAGATTGCTCAGTTTTATTTTTTCTTCTGAACAAAAGACGTCCCACTGCTGACATGGTAGGAAGAAACGTAACTCATAACTTGCACTAATGTATATTATTTTTCTTGAGGTTTTACCATTATTTATATTTTTATGAATTAAAAAAATCTATTAAATACAAATCAGTTGATGTCTCACATAACTAATTACCTTTTTAATGTGATTTTATATAATAATTCGTAATCCTCTGCGAGTAATGGAGGATTAGCAAATGTTTACAACTAGATGAAGGGTTTAAACAAAATTGTTTCTTTACAATCCAACATGCATATAAGATGATTTTCAGATGTAACTTTCACTGCCGTTACCTTAAGACTTCCTCTTCCCTTTCCGAGCAGATAACTGGAACAGTAATACTAAAAACATTATTTAAAAAAAATCAGGGTTTTAAAACGAATAGGAAGCAACTATAATTATTAGATTGCTTTAGACTTTCTTTCTGAGTACACAGAGGTGTGAATGATACACAGCCACAGAAGACGAGCAGCAGGGCAGAATGAATCCAGTACTTGAAAGCTTGGCAGGACTTCAGAGCTGAGCAGCACCACGCGCGCCAGAAGGTGAGCTGACACATTCCTAACGTCTTTCTCCTTTCAGCCACCAGATTAATTTTTCTTCAGCTGTTCAAAGCACCACAAACACGTGTGGAGACAAAGGTAGCGTGCTGTAAGTCTGCAGTAAAAAAGCTAAGAAACGTGGTTGACAAAATCTTGTTTTACAGTATGTGGTTAAATGAAATTTAGTTATTAACAATTTTGCCCATAAGACTGCAAAAGTTTAAATGATGAAACAGCTAAAATCTTGGGCATCTCTAAGGCTGTCATCACAGTTACCTCAAACATCTTTATTCAGCCAAGTGCTCAGCATGATCTTATCTTGAAGAACAGTAACGTGCTCCAAACAGTATTCTGGTAGGATTGGCAAGCTCCAAAACAATGCCAGTGCTTCAGGTGCTACGTTGAATTTGTGTTTTCAGAACATATAACTGCAGTCACCTCTTTCTCACCTCTTGCATCAACTAGAACCAGGGGAAAGCCTGACGTGTTGGTGGGCTGCAATCAGCCCCTGTGCAGAAAGCAGCTTTGGAACTGAAACAGAATCAAGCTGTGTTATGGTTGCTGCGTTGCAGCAACTAGCTGTACTCTTCCAAGTGAATCAGTGCTTGTTCTGTTATGTTGTGTGAGCTTGCAGCAACCTTATAAGGAGCAGGGTTTGGTCCATCCAAGGAGGACAGCTCAGGAAATTGTCTGAGGCTGATCTCTGCTGTTTATTATTATTATTTCTGTAGTGGAAGGATATAAATGCACTACAGCTTTAAAAATAAAAATAAAAATAAAAATAAATTGCTTTAAATCAGTTTGAAGCCTCTGCCATTTCTTATGGTTTCCTCATCCTAATACACTGTAGTGTATTAATTTGCACCTGACCCCACCTACAGACTCTACTGTCTGAAATACAGTGCAGTCTGTGCCCCTGCTGTGTTTTATCATTTTAGTATGGATCCCAAGCGCTGCATATAAGTGGTGCATCTCTGGTTACTGTTCTTACCTGCTAAGCTTTCTCCACTGACATGTAAAATGTCTCATAACCATGCATTAGAAATTCTGATACTGAAGTATGTGTGCCTGTGCTGTTCAACAAAATTTTTCTAATGTAAAGCTTCCAGCGCCTTACTCAAGTTACTGATTTGAAAAAAAAATGTGGTGGATGGGAGGGTGAAAGTGTCAGCATTATTTTTTTTTTGTTTTGTTTCAAACCATTCAGTTACTGGTTGATGAAGAATGCATACTTTGTTAATCTGTGATGTTGCCTAGAGCTGTATTTAATATTGATTGATCTTAATGTTTTTATTTATAATAGTGTGGTAGAGCTGCGTATCATTACAGTAAAAATTCCCATTACTGTGATGACTTAATCAAACATTAAAAACTTCTGTATGACCATTTGTTGCTTCGACTCTGTCATCTTTTCTCAAACAGTATTTCTGTTCACTTTTGCATTTAATTTCCCTGAGATAAACGCCACAGGTTTAAAATACAACACTAAAATCCTACGTTTCTGAAACAGACGTTTTCAGATTTGTTTCTATCATGTAATTGCAGAGTAGTTGGCTTCCTGATTCAAAAATAGTTGATACTTATATTGTCCCAAAAGTAGAAACAGGTAGTTTCTTTACAGTGCGTTTTTAGTCCTTCTGCTTAAAAAGGACATGGTAAGGTTATTAAATGCCTGTTTGCAATATGTTTCACTTTGGTATTTTTTCTAGTTAGCTTTACAGTCATTAACCTCACATTGAGAAGAACAGATGAAAGCCATACTGAAGTCCCCATTTTTTTCAGAGATGTTCAGAACTGAATAATAATGTGAAAGGTGAATGCTTGTGTGACTTACAGAGCATTGATACGAAAGTGTCTTCTGTTTGGAGCCTGAAAAGGGGAGGCCCATGAAACAGCTCATGTCTGCTTGTTAATGTTTGAATAAATGAAACATCTGTATGCTGATCCAAAGATGGGGAAGTGTCAGAAAAGCAGATGCTACATGGCTGAGAACTGGAAATAGATCTATAATTTAAAATGGCCTATTGGTTTGGAATTTGTTAAACTAAACGGAATGATAAGGTTCAAGGAGTGCTCTGAAAGAAACACCTATTTATGATGTTAGCTCACACCACCAGTTGGTACGACTGTAGAGACTGAACCTTCCCACCAGTGTTCCAGTCCATTTTGTTGCTGTGTGACACATGGCAACAGAGGGGCTACGTGACGAATCAGTGTCTGACGTGGAAGCACATATCAAGCAAAGTGGTGTCACTGAAAATTCCTCCACGAGGGGAACAGTGGCACCAACTGACACTATTGATGCTTGCCCAAGGGTCACCAGGGCGAGGAAAAGACAGCCAGTCCTTAGGAAAGCTTTATTAACAGCACAGAACACGTTTCCACGTGGAAAAATAGCACGGAATGAATAAAATAGCCCACACCCCACAACACGAGCATAGCCCTGGTGCTGCCCCAGCTCAGGGCGCCAGGCGGTCCAGGCCCTCCTGCCTGCGGTCTGCCAGGTGCGCCTCGATCACCTCGGCAAAGAGGTTCCTCTTCAGCAGGCTGTAGGCGAGCGGCAGCAGCTGGGCCACGGTCTTGTGGAAGTACTGCACGAGAGAACAGCAGCCCTAAGCACAGCCCTGCACCAGGCCCACCTCCCCCCAAGGGCTCGGGTGCCTCTATCTGGGGCTGCAGCTGGAACAGCAGCGTTCTGTCAGCGGCTGATAGCATGCAGTGAGAAACAGAGCCAGTGATGCTCCTGCAGCCATGATCTTTTTCAGTCGAGGGGGGGCGATGGTGAATAGAGAACAAGGATGTTACGCTGAGTCTTTAGGTGTGATTAAGTGCTGGTGAGTCAACACAGAACAGCCTCAGCAAGCCGATTACCATGAAGCCAGAAATAAATATCTGGAAACCTACAGGCTACAGGTGAGATGGCTTTATGCCACTGTATGGGAAGCGTATGCAGGCAAAGGACCCCAGAGTCAATTTTTTGCCTCCCTGGGATGACTGCAGACAGACATCAGCCTGTTTCTTGATCAAGTTCAGCACAAGTGCTTAAGCCCATAAAAGCAGGTGAGGAGAAGGAGCTTCGTATCTATCCTGCATATCTAGACTAAGAATTCTGCATTTTTTCAGTATGACTCACTGTCACATGCACATCAAGTTACAAAAGTGCCATTTAAAATTCTTTTGACCTGGAGGATCATGGCTTCATAGAAGCTGTTTCTAATTTAACATGGAATAGTGTCATAAGTATGACTTCTTAGCAGTTTTCACACACTAAGAATATCCACACAGACTTCCATGATTCCTAGCAATGAGTATATGATAAGAATTAGGAATAAAGATCTATGATACGTTACAACCCCTCAACTACACATAAAACAATGTGTGACTGCAAGATGCATGGCTTCTGTAGTACTTACGTGTGAGCCATAGCAGAAAAGATCCATCCCCAGTTCATATCCCATTCCATAGTCACATTCATCATTAGCAAACTGAACGTAGGTGAGCATTTCTTGAATGGGTGCAAACGCCTTCAGTCTCTCATCATCAGTAGGAGCATCAACGATGGCCTTACATATTTTCTTAAGATTAGCTGCAAAAATAAAAGCAGAAATATGTTTAAATAAATAATACTGCATCAAAGCAGCTTCTGCCAAAAGTATCCCCATGGGTCTCAAGTGAAGATTAACTGGACACAACCTGAGCTACTGGTGAACAAGTTTCCGCCTTTGCAGCTCCTTCTCACCTTGTACCCATCGTATCTCAGTTCCCCCTTCAGAGATGGGTATTCATGTATCAGAACTTGCATCAAGGAACTGATTCAGGTTAAAACAGCACCAAAAGAGGCAGAATGAGAAATAAAACCAAAAAATCCCTGAATGTGGATCAGTTCTTTGAGAATCCTTCCTGTACGACAGTGCCAATACAGCAGTGTAGCCTAAACTATTACTTTAGGAGTTGTTACTTCAGTAGTAGTATATAGTATGTTTTACTGATTCTTATCAAGATTTACTAAAAAAAAAACAAAAAAAAAACGTTACATTAGAATGGTTAAAGCTTCTGCCCTTTACTCCCAGCTACTCATCTTCTTCAGATAGGAAATCTGACCGCAGTTGGTTTTTTGCAGATTAGATTTGACTGGAGGCTGCCTAATGAAAGTGGAAGAGCACAGTAAACAAGATACTTACTGTTTGTTTCAGGAAGTTCTCTGTATCCAACATCATTTTTGTCTACAGGAACAACCAGGCCTGCTCCATGAAATGTTTTAGCCACCACCTAAAATAAGAGCCAGGAAATTGAATGTAGTACTGTAAGGCAATACTATGACATAAAAGCATTCACTTCATGAAAGCAACATTAGCACCTGAATTACGATGGTGAAGCCTTCAGGTGGTCAAGCCAAATGCAGCACCTAGCCTCAAGGACATCGCCTTAAACTATGCAGCAGTTACTGTTCAACACTGAAGTTTAACTAAAAGAACAGTGAAAACTCCAATGATGTTCTGAAATTTAAGAATCCTTGGATTCACTCATCTGCCAAAATTATTTCTGTTCTGTATTCAGAAAATAGATTAAAGTCCCACTACTAATATATATCATCCTTCATGTTACTGTTCATAGTGAATCTTCAATAATAAGGCAGTTATGGCAGCTCTGCCTGTGGCATAAGGGTTGGAGCTTCATGATCCTTGGGGTCCCTTCCAACCCAAGCCTTTTATGGTTCTATGTCTAGGTTCCCCATGTGTTTTAGTTTCTAAACTGTTTCCCCTGTTGTTTGTTTGTGTTTGTTTTCCCTTTAATGCCTTACTTGCTAAGCTACAGTTTAGAAGAATAAAGCATTTAAATTCAATCCTACATTTGGAACACAGTTCTATTCATCTTCCCTCTCCTGAAATTTTATAGAGATGATTTGCTCTGAAATTCGTAAGTGATGCTTCTTTACTGAATAGAAGGAAGCCAAAGAAAGGAAAAAAAAAGAAAAAAAAAAAATCAGGCAAGTAAGTGGAGGAAAGAAAAAAAAAAAAGCAGTTTAACAGAACTCAGTTGTCTCCAGTGGATCAGGAAAGTCATACTTTTTTATCTCTCTGTTTCATCTTCGTGGTTTTTTGTTCCAGAGAATAACCCAATTCTTTTGCTGTCCTTGTTAGCTTTTCATCTATGTCTTTCAAAACAGCAGTTTTCTTTTTATCAGTCACTTCCTTAAGTTTTTTTGACAAAAATAATCTGTAAACAGAAAAAACACGTCTTAAAAGAGCTTAGCAGAAAACAAATGAATAGCCTTCTAATCACTGCACCTTCAAATCTTACAATGCAGATTAGCAGTCATGGTTTTATTTATGCACAGACTTAGGAACTCAGGCCTCTTAACAGCTAAAACAACAGCCAAAGACTTTGGCACAGTGCATACTCTGCTATGTCCTATCTGTATCTGTTGTATTACAACATAGTTCATGCAATCTGCAGGTACTGAAGATTCTCATGAACTTAACTGTACATGCTGCTATCTGAAGAATTTAGTTTACTCCTTCAGTGCCTTATACACTTTTTCTCATCCAAGTCATGCACATCAACACGTATTTATGAGCTTCGTTGTGGTGCTTCTTAAACAACTGTCATCATTTAACTCTGCACTAATAAGAGTTCTTCACAGGAGTTTTTCTTAGTATGCTGTCACTTACTGACACGAATCTGTCCTTAGAGAGCTTTCCATTTTTAACTGGCAGGTCATTAGACAAGAGTACTCACGCTTCCACTGTTTAAGTTCATGATGCAGGATATGGTAAAGGATATGAATCAAGGAATTCTATCTCCATGCCCCAGCTCAGAAACAGGGCTTCCTGTAGTTACTCTTTTTAGAATATAAAGTGCATTTTTAAGCGTGCAAGAAAAAAGAAAGCTACACCTTACTCATTTAGTATGATCAGATTTTCTTTACCACTGTTTGAGATGCTTTATTCTTTACCTACAAAGTTTTCTGACACATGATGTAGGCAGTTTTTTCTTAAGAGACTTTCCCCCTTGTAGACATTCCAATATATTTTAAGATTCAGACAACTAACTCTTATGCATTCTACTTATAAAAGAAAAACATTTTCAAGAATCAGGAAGATTTTCAGAGCAGCTTAAAGCCTGCTATCAGAGCAGGAGTAAGGGAGGGTTTCTTGAGGAAGAAAGAGGCACAGTAAGATAGCTACATTATTAATAGCTTGCTTTCTATATAACTTTTTATAAATAAAAGTAAATATGAACCTTACTTGACTGCAGCAAATACATTATCACCAACTTGTGAAATCAGACAGCTCTTCCTTGCTTCATTTGCACCAACCCACACTGGAAGCTCATCTGGCACATCCCTGTTTATGAAAAAGTACATTCAAATACTCAAGCTGTGCCCATTTCTCCTATTCCAAACCGAGATTAATTCCCCTCCTTGCCATGCTGCCATCTTCAGAAAGCTAACAAAAGCAGTTAGGTAGCTGTAGAACCTTACAGCATGGCTTTGAAAGGAACTCCTATCAGTACATACAGAGAATGCAGGTTCCCCTTATTTCATTATGCCTGACTTTTTAAATAAAATTAAAGACCAATGAGTGAAGATGCTCTGGAGGATTTGGGGGGAGAAGTTTAATAAATATTTCAATCTTCTCTTCAACATCTTTGATCTTCTTTTAATAAAATACCAACTCACACGGTAATATCCTACTACAGGAGGATAGTGCAGTTCTCAAATCCTGTCTCATGGAAAACAAAGATGAGAAAACAAAGTTACACACAATTATATTAGCATACACTGAATCAAATACCTGAAATATCCCATGTGATACTGTGTTTTGCTATCGCCGACAAGTATAGTCTGGAATTCAGGGGGGTCATAGAAGAATCTCCAGTGAAGACTGAAGTTCACATCTGTTGATTTTGCTTTTTTGTGTTTCCCAGCAAGAATGTCATAAGGTCCAACCAGTGTAAGCCCAACACTTGACACAAGTGCATCTGAAAAGCAGAGGGTGAACTGTTTTGTGAACTGAGACATTCCTGTGTCACTCAGGTGTCAAAAGCCTCCATAAATCCAAACAGTCATATGTGCTATTCAGCAGATGAGAAAAGCTGAGATATTCCACCTGGATAATTTCCATTCAAGAGCTAGATTATTACTCTCTTCACCTTAAAACAAAGTGTCATTTCTAGAGCACCTAGAGACACCATATCCTCTTATAATAAAATCAATTTGGGCAAGTTGAAGTCTGAGTTGATGTGAGGAAACTTCAATTCCCCGTTAAATACTTTAGATGTGATTGCAAGAAAGGCAAAATTAGGCAAACATTTAGTCCCTTTGCACGATGCCATTTTATTTCAGAAAGCTTGAAGCAGACCGATGTCCTTGTGAACAGCCCAGCATTCTTATTTATACTTACAGAATTATCTCGCATCTGAACTGAAAACAGAGCAGCACGAGGATGCCTCCCACAGCCCCATGTGCCTCCCTTCCAGCTGTTAGAAAGGGAAAAGGCAAAAACCAGTGAGAATCGCACAGCCTACCAGCTGGTTTCTCGGGATCTAGTTCCTCACAAAACTTCCAGAACTGGTAGAAGTCCTCAGGCAGCCTCAGCTGATAGCACGTCTCTGCTTCTTGCTGGAGGGCATCGCGTGCCTCTGCCTGGCCTGACCGCCTCTTCTTGTATTCCTTGTTTTTGTCGCACTGCAGACACAAAAAGAAAAGCGCACCCGGCTGCTTCCTGAGTGTTGCACTGAACAACTGTGCAAAGCACACGCATAGATCGGAGTGCCTCTTTTGCACAGAGGCCCTTACCAGTGCCTCACCTCACACCTGCACTCACAGAGACAAGACCACCAAGTGCCGCTGTCATCTCAGTGGAGCAGCGCCCTTATGGGCTGATCACAGAATGGTTTGGAAGGGACCTCAAGGATGATGAATCTCCAACCCCCTGCTGCATGCAGGGCCACCAACCACATTTCATAGCAGCCCAGGCTGCCCAGGGCCCCATCCAACCTGGCCTTGAACACCTCCAGGGATGGACGGGGCATCACAGCCTCTCTGGGCAGCTGTTCCAGCACCTCACCACTCTCATAGCAAAGAACTTCTCCCTGACATTCAACCTCAATCTTCTCTCCCTCAACCTCAAACCATCTCCCTTTGTCCTGCAGTTATCTACCCTTTCAAAGAGTTGATTCCCCTCCCGTTCGCAGGCTCCCTTTAGGTACTGAAGGCTGCAGCGAGGTCTCCTCACAGCCTTCTTTTCTCCCAGCTGAACAAGCCCAGCTCCCTCAGCCAGCCTTCCTGGAGGCGAATACAGCCCTGCCACACGTCACAAGCCGGAGCCGCTGTGCCATTAACCGAGGGCCGGCTGCAGCACGGCCGCCGGTCGGGCCTAGGGTCTCTCTCCCGCCCTCTCGCCGGGGCCGCCCGGCCAAGCCCCGCGCCAAGCGCCTCACCCTCCGCCGCCCAGCCGCTCGCCCGGCTCCCACCTGCTCTCCCTCCGGCTCCGCCGCGCGCTGCCGCCGCTTCCCGCCACCTGTCATGCTCCCGCCGTTCGCATCGCGCCGCGCCGCGCCGCGCCGCGCCTCGCCCCGCCCCTTCCGAGGTCGCTCGCTGCGCCTCCGCGCATGCGCACTCCCCGCCCTCTCCCCCTCCCGCCCCGAGACCGGCCGCGCCCCGCTCCTCGCGCTCCGCCTTGGGCGGGAGCTGAAGGGCGCGGGAGGAGGCGGGGGAAGGCGGGCAGCAGCAGCACCTGGAGGAACGGCTGCCCCAGCAGCTGAGTGGAGGAGAGCCGGGTCTTAATTCTCAGGAGAACAAAGCTTCGTGTCCGCTCACGTGGCTATCCGTTGTATAGCTTCGCTTAACCGCGTTCTCACCTCAAGCACCGAAATGATGCAGAGGTGCCTGTATTTCCCATTTCGGTGTTAAATCTAACGGCTGCTGACTTCTGCCACCCGTTACCGTTTCAGGATCACAGAATTCCTGCTTCTTCCCTCACTGCAAGGTGAAGTTAAATCAGGAATTCGCTGTTATTAGATATTAAAAAAGCAGAGGATTTTGAAGAGCCGAGGAAAAGCTTCTTAACACATGACTGGCCAGGCTGAGGCTCTTCTGATCCATGCAGGACGGCTACTTCAGGACGCAGCCTCAAGGCATCAATTCCTTAATTTACCTCACCTCCAAACCTGCAGCTTTGCAGATGCTTTTCAAGCCTCCTCGTCTGTTTTTACTAAAACGAAGTACAAAAAAAAAAAAACCAACCATCCTCAGTTCTACAAGTGAAACACTTCTAAGTTGGACACGAGAGCTCAAATGTGCCTCAGGACAGCCTGTAGTCTGACGTGTGTGTTCCTGCCGTGTTTGTCTGCTGCTGCAACACGAGCGAAGGAAGTCGTGGTGAAAGCTTCAGCATTTTGAGTGGAAGAGAAGGCAGAACCTTTTCACAACTTCAGTTAGATGTTTTGCCTCTTGGAATATTTTGCATTCCGGCACTGAGGGAGACATAAGACAGGCGTGAAGTGAGCTTGTGATGGGCACGTTTGAGCTATGCCAAGGCAAAACTATATCAGAAAAAAAATGCTAATCGCCTGGATTAGTACTTGGGCATTTTATGGTGTTAATAGTGAGAGGCCTCACAAGCCTGATTGGGAAGGCTGTTTCCTCCGTAGTACAGATGCAGCTCTTGTGAACGTTGTAGATTTATTTTCCATTCTTTTCTCCACAGAAGCTGTACAAAGCCTGAGAGCATCTCTCTTCCAGAGTAATCTGCAGTGATACCCCAGGAAAGAAAGGCACAGCATCCAGGAGAAAAGGTAAGAAATCATCTCATGCTTCCTAGGCAGGTGCTGCAGCCACTACATTGTTGAGTAAGAGTAACAGCGTTTGGTCGTATTTAAAATGAGAACTCATTTTGTCTGTGGATGTATACATTTATGGACGTATACATGTGTAGTGTAACTCATGCATTTTATATAAATGTTACAAACAATTGTACCTCAGGAAAAATGGGCTCAGTTGCATGATCCTACCCCATCAGGCTTAAGCCGTGAGGCAGTTAGCTTGTTTCAGCTGAGAACATGTTGGTGGTATGTTCAGAAATCTAACTTTGAATGACTGGATTGATCGAACGAGCATTTCTGAGGTCAGAGGTATCTACTCTCAGGCAGTAGCTAAGAAGATGTTTTCACAACCACCATTCTGAACTTAAGGCTTAATAAACTCTTGCAGTTACACCTCTGTAAAGTCTTCATCCCCATCAGTTCTTCTCTGAATTTTAGAGATAGAGAGCTTGTGGGATCCCACGGTTACACCATGTAGGCCCTCTCCCCAAAGAAAACAACAGCAGAAGAAAACATTTAAGATAGTAAATGATCATTCAGAGCACCGTTGTATTTTTTTTCTCTCTCTAAACAAGCAATAATTCAATCTGTGCATATCTACCTCCAAATAATTTGCTCTGACTTCTAAAATCATGGACTTGGAAAACATATATGACTTGATATTGCTGGTTATATTGGCATTCCTTCTGTTAACAACTTGTGAAGCTGTAACATGAAAGACTTTTCACAAAGCATAAGCAACTAAAGCAGAATATACAATAAAGTATATTAGAACCGTCTTCTTCCAACTGATGAACAGACTCTTATGTCTTTGGTGTCAGATAATCTGTGCTCAGGTGTTCCAGAGTCCTGAGAGCTGCAAGGCATGATAAATCTGCTCTGCATTACCCATTTAGTTGTGTGACACATATAATTCATCTATTTTTCCCTACCCTTGTGTATACATTCAAGTCATATTTTTAGATAGGTAGGTGTGCACAGTTTTCTCATTGGTCTCCACAATGTACTGATGACTAGACCATGCAATATAAATATACAAATTCTGTTGCAGAGGAACATGCTACTGTGCTTCACTTGCCACAAGAGGGAGCCATTAAAATTCTTATTATAAAAAAAAAAGAAAAAAAGAGACAAAGAAGTATCTTAATCCATTCCTGGCCAGGCCATGTGTCCTTGTACACCAGCTTTGGGAGAAAAGCTGCTTCTAAGCTTTGGATAATTTAATCTTACTCTACGCAGTCTCAGCATATATACCAAGTATGTTGGATTTTTGTTTGTCTGTTTTGTGTGGCTGTATGGACATACTGTGAAATTATGCTATTTTTAATTAGTTTTTAACATTACAGTTTAAGTGAAGGTCTGGCTCTTAATGAGTTACTTCACAGAATTACCAAGTTAAGCCTTAAATCATGGGTGCACAACCTTTTAGTTTACCTGATAAAAATATAATATAGTCAGTGTGTGTAAGTAACAAACCTTTTATGTTTTTTTTTCTCATTATTTAAAAAAAAAAAAAAAAGAGGGCAACAAAACTGTATAACTAGAGGGTTGGAGATGTATGCCTTGAATAATCCTTAGATCACACAGAGCCCCTGGTCCTAGCATTAGTAGCTTCTGTAGGACAGCTCCATGTTTTCAAGCTCAGAGGAGAACGTGTCCTCCCTCCCATAAAAAAAACAAGGATGAGCAAGAACTGTGGTGTACACAAGTCAATGTCAAGGATGAGGGATCTGCCTCCAGGAAGGTTGTGAGTGAGCAGTGCTGCATCAGACTGCAAGGACCTCTGCAAAGCCTCTGCTGAGTCACCACCTCACTGCTGACTGGGCTGGTAGGTTGTGCTGGGTTGCTGCCAGCTCTCCTTGCAGTTCTGTGAGGTAGGCTGTATGCATCAGGATGAATGAGAGCAGAAAATAAGGTGGGAGGAGGAGAAAAAAAATCTTGTCACTGGAATAAAACTCATAAAGATGTTGCAGGCCATCTATTTCCTGAGAAATCCTGGAGGCTTCGTGTGCTTTGTATTGGGAATGTCTAGAATGGATCCCATGGATGAGGATGTAAGTAGATGGTTGTGAAGGGCTTGAAATCACATATACCTTTTAGTGTAGTGATTAATATAATTTTGGCATCAATTCAGAGAGCCGTAAAATAACAATTCTCAACAGGAATGTAAACCTCACAGCTTGGTACAGTTGTAATCCAGCATTTTGAACCACAGTTTATTTGGATCTGGTATCTAGCAGTAGACTACGGTTTTTAAGTTGGCAGTATTATTTTACTGCAACCCAAAACCTGCCTTTCTTTCTGCTCTGAATTGAGTACAGGAAAACCGTTCTGATTGCATAAGTGTGCAATCTGACCCCTACCATCTATCCTACTAATTTCCTCTGTAGTCCTGTGATTGTACAGAACTATAATTCACGTAATATCATTTGCAGTTAAGCAAATGCAGATAAGATTTATAGCTAACAAATTGATTATTGTAAGTTACCTGGTTTACTGGGAAGCACAGCAGTGTATATTCAACACAGTCATCAGGCTCAGTCCAGCTAAATGTATTATCCCAGGAAGTTAAATCTTCATTGATGAGATCAGGACTGGGACCTATTGCACACTTTTCCACTTGGAGCATCTCATCCGTGGCAAAGAAGATGCTTCTAGTAAATATTCTTGGGACTACCACACTGTGGCTGAGGAGGTCAGCAATTCCATTGTTGACAGGGCTCGTAAAATGGCTGACAAGTACAGGCTCCAAGAGTTTCCCAACCATGCACAACTCTGGGGAGGTAAAGGCTTGAGGTTCACTTCATGCCTCATGGAGCAGCTCTCTTTGGAATATGGCAAGAAATCCAAGCTGGAATTCTCTGTGTAGCCAACCTTGCCCTACAACTTCATCCTCAGCACCCACACCTCTCTGGAACACTGATTGCTCCTTCATGGTGGACAAAAAGGCCATCTTTAACATCTGCAACTGCAAGCTGGATATCAAGGATCCCACCTACACAAACCTCAACAGGCTGATTGGGCTGATTGCCTTATCTATCACTGCCTCCATGAGATTGATGGTGCCTTCAGTGTTGATCTGACTGAGTTTCAGTCCAGTTGGTGCCTTTCCCACAGATACACTTCCCACTCACAACTTATGCAGCCATCATTTCGTCAGCAAAAGCTTACCATGCTCAATCCTCAGATTTAGTGAATGGTTAAGGGTGAGCAATCCAACTATATTTAGTCACTTCTGGAAGAAAAACCTTTTCTTGCATTTTCTTTGCATCCTGGCAAGCAGTAGAGATTAAAAGGAACAAAAGCTAGTTTTAGCATAGGCTAAAACAGCACTAAAATCTAATTTTGGTGTTCATATTTAAAGCACTACTCTCACCTGCTTGGAGGTTTCCTTTCCATATGGCTTCCAACACAAGAACACAATAGACTTAAACATCCCTGGAAAGTAGTGCAGAACCTGGCGTTCTCCTGTGCCATTCCCAGCTAACAGATATGCACAGCACAGTTCATTCCCAAACACGTTGGCTTTCTAGCTATAAGCTTAATCAATTCAAGTGCAGCACAGTGCTGACACAGCTCTGCTGTTTCCAGTTCAGGAACCAGGCAAGTTTGATGCTTGCCTGTGATTACCATATTGCATCCTTGCACAACACTGACAACGCATCCAACTCTGTTTTAAGTGAGCCCACTTCCTGTTCATGTCTTGATACTGTGAGCTACCATAAACAAGTGCCAAGGCAGAAAAAAAAAAGAAAAGCCCATCCCCATGGTTGTAGCATGTAAGTACTGTCTAAGGCAAGCTTACACCCAGTAGCAGGAAACAACCCTATTTTCACCAGGATGACAGTGGGAGGAGGTGGTGCCTGGCCTTTCCCTTTGATGCAGAACTATTGAAGCCTTGGGTTCACCACCCCTTTCACACCAGGTTAGTGCAGTGACCTAGTGCAGACA